CTGTATCTGTCAGCATTGGGGTGTCAAGCCATATACATGATCCTGCCAAATACATGACCCTGACACTACTTGGGGGTTGCCAATATACCTGAGGCAAGGGGTGGGAGGGATTTAGTCGTAATATATGTGGGAGACTAACCCTAACCCTAACTCTAATACCAAACCTAACCCTAGCCCTAGCCCTAGCCCTAGCCCTTGCCCTAGCCCTAGCCCTAGCCCTACGCCCTAGCCCTAGCCCTACGCCCTACGCCCTAGCCCTAGCCCTAGCCCTAGCCCTAGCCCTAGCCCTAGCCCTAGCCCGCCTTTTTCGGATAGCCCTGGCCTATCCTGGCTAGCCCTGGCTCTAGCCCTAGCCCATCTTTTCCGGATACCCTAAGCGCACCAAACGCTCTGGAAAATCAACGTTCTCAAAATAAGATGTTAATCACTATGAATGAACGTGAAATTGTAATAAAGAATTACTCACATATTTTCCCACGTATTCAGCGAGTTAGAAGTTATCTAATACCTCGTGAGAGATTAAAAGATAAACAGAATCGCCAAAGTGTGCGTTTCGTTTGCATGCGGTCTTCCGTAAGGTGAATGACCTGGAATGACCCGGAGGTCACAGCTGGCATGGCGGCCGCTACACGTGTTTTGGCTTTGGTATCGAGTTTTTGAGGCGATTTTAGAGAGAAATAAGCACAGAAAAACTCGCGATGGCGGCTAAAAGTACGGAGAAGAGACCGGAGAACCGACATCGGGTGAGTAGATAGTTTTTGTCGAGTTTGTTGGAATGTTGTGGGTAGATTTTGCGAGAGGGGGGAGGGGGGCGAGACCTATGTTTTGTTCCGACACGCGTCTGAAAACCTGGAACGTACACAGAAACTGAACCAAGCTAAACCGGCCCACGTCTGGCGAGATATTAGACGTTAAACAAGGAAAACAACAACGTGGGGTCGTGTGGCGTAGCGGTAGCGTGTTCGGCTGAGAACCACAGCCAAGAGGTCCCGGGTTGGAACCCTGCCCATGTCACCGATCTTGTGCTCTTGGGAAAGGCACTTTACACGACTTTCCTCACTTCACTCAGGTGAAAATGAGCATGCCAGAATGACCATTATCATGATCGTGGGCATTAAAAGAAACCCAATATTTAAAACATAGGTAGACTTTCACAAAAATGTAGGGCATATGGTACACAGTCTTTATAATCGTTCTTTTTACTGTAGAGCAAGAAAGTCTCCAGATCTGTTTTTTTCGTGAAACGAATAAAAGAAGGTCCAGTTCTATTGCAGAGCAAAGGTGTGGCGCCCATCTCCATTTCTGTAGCCATACTTTTTCTCATGTTAGTCATAGATTCTGAGTGCTAAGCAGAGAAAGCAGTATGTGCAAAGATTGAGTGTAACAAGTTGTTCGGTGTAATAATAGCCAGCTGCTGCCGCGCCGCGTGCCTGCGAAGCTGGTGTGTTATGCCAAAGGGCGGTTATACCGGCTATACAGATACAGAAGCTGGTGTGTTATGCCGAAGGGCGGTTATACCGGCTATACATATACAGAAGCTGGTGTGTTACACCAAAAGGCGGTTATACCGGCTATACAGATACAGAAGCTGGTGTGTTACGCCGAAGGGCGGTTATACCGGCTATACTGATACAGAAGCTGGTGTGTTACTCCAAAGGGCGGTCATTCCTGCTATACTGATACAGAAGCTGGTGTGTTACGCTGAAGGGCTACATGTATACTGATACAGATACAGATTGTACCAGTTAGTGATTACTAGCCTAAGAGTAATAGTAATAATAATGTCTGTCTTTCTTCCTTATTATGTACCCAGTTCAAGACATTCTCTGAGAGGTTATCTGAGGTCAACATCGACGTGGTTCATCGGATCAGCCGGGTGCAGGACCCGCAGGTAACAATAGGGGGCGCTGTTGCACAGTCCTGTTTATATTTATTTTATGTGTTTGTTTGTTTGATTACATGGTAATGTGGCACAAAATTCCTTTTGTTGTGGCCATATATATACCTTACATATATACATTAGTACAAACATACATTGCTCCAAAAAAAAGACTTGTACTTGGTGCAAGCACGTCTAACCCCGCTTGGGGAAAGATGACGTAAAATTTGGTTAAAAAAAATTGATACAAACACACATACTTGTAAATTATGTCCTTCACTCTACAACATCCATCCACCATGTTTGTTTATCTCTTAGGCTGTTGTCTTGGCATTCCACTGTCACACAACCCTCTTTGTTGTGGCCACATATACATGTACATGTATACTAATGTACAAGACTTAGTATACTAATGCATACTAGTCTAATGTATATGACTGATTAACTCTAAGGTGTAGGGATATTTTGGGGGTATTTCATAAGAAAGCCTTTTGAGGCTGTAAAACCTCTAGGTAGGCATGTCAAAGAACCCAGCACACTTGTGGATTTAAGTAGTGGTGACTTTGCAAGTTGTTACTCACTACATGTATCACCTCATAGATGAAGTACAACAAATTGTTTTAATCTTATGTTGAACCTTGAATCTTGTGTTACTCCCTCACAGGACATTGATACACATTTTGGAGAAGGAGTCCAGAAGTGGAAGGAGTTGAACTGTACACAACACTTCAGTAAGTCAGAATCAGTAAATTTAAAGTTGCTATTAAATTCCTTCCTTGTACATGACAGAAACATTCAAGCAGCCTATGATATTTTCAAAGTTATGGGACTACTACTAGCAGAAGCACCAAAAAGCAGTTACACAAGCAACTGGATATGATTTTGGAAACAATCAAAGTTGCTTGAGTAACTGCTTTTTGGCATATCTTATTACCTGGATGTCTAACCTTCATCGACGAACTAGCAGAAGCCTTTGTTTAATGCTTAGATCTTTTTATAACACAAAAGTAGGGAAGTACTGAACTTAAAATAATAATAGAACTCTTTGTGTTCGTTTTGAAAATGCTGTTTGTAAGTGTAAGTTGTTTTTTCTTTGTCTCCAGCCCAGTTCTATAAGGAGGTTTGTCAGAAGTGCAGCACCTACACACAGGTGGTACATCATGAGGTAAGTGTGTGTGTGTGAGTGTGCGCGTGTGTGTGCATGTGAGTGTGTGTGTGTTTGTGTGAGTGTGTGTGTGTTTGTGTGTGTATGTGTGTGTGTTTGTGTGTATGTGTGTGTGTGTTTGCTTGTGTTAGTCTGTGTGTGTTTGTATGTTTGTGTGTGTGCGCACCATGAGGTGAGTGGAACCAAACAAGCACAGGAGAAATCAGCACGATGGAGTTTTGACAATAATTTCCTTGTCTATGTTATTTATTTATTTCAAATGCAACAATACATTACAACAGTTATATGACAATAACAATTACAATGATATTTATTGCTATAGTAGTATACATACGTGGCAACAGGTAACGTTATACAGATACGATAATTCTAATACAATAATTTCCTATGTCCTCAGCAGGATTACAATACTGATGGCACAATATCCAGTAGTAGACTTGTTTTTCAATATGTTATGTCTTTTTCATCTAACCTTGTACCTTACCTAAATGTCTGGCTCCCAGGCTTTCCTTGTGGCCACCCTGAAAACCCACCTGCAGGTTCCTGATAGCCTGGCTCTGCAGCCACTTCTGGAGTAAGTATTTGTAGTCTGGATCTCTTCTTAGTGCCTACTGTTGTTTCCGTTTGCGTACATTTTCCAGTTTTTTGTGACCAATCTCTTTTGATAGAGCCACTATTCTGCAATTTCCATGTACTCTGATCATTTAGACATGTTTGTTTTCTTGACTGATGTGTTGTTTTGTCCTGGGGTCTAGAGTTTACACATACTCACATGAATTTGCTATCTATATCTGCATACTAGTAGCTGGTTACCATTTCTGAGACGCTAGCACCCCTTTCATAGTTGTTCGTGCAAAATCTCGCAGCTTGATCTGAGAAACACACTACATGTATGTGTCACTAACAGACAAAGACCTTGTTTGAAATCTTTAATAAGCATACACATGGCAAGCTTTTGAAGCCTTCTTACAATTTTTGGATGGTAAATAGCTCTTCTGCTCGGAAATAAGTCACATGAGTTTGGGCTCCCTAGCAGCTTGTTCTGAAACTGTGTGTGTGTGTCTGTGTAACTAAGAAACACCCCCTATCCCTCCAGCCTGGTAGTGCAGCTGGCACGAGACCTACAGACGGATTTCTACCCTCACTTCGGAGAGTTTTTCCAGCTTCTGGTGCCGCTTCTAAACACTCAGGACACGGACCTGATCGAGTGGACGTTCACCTGCCTGCTGTACCTGTTCAAGTTCCTCTGGAGACACCTGGTCAGGGACGTCACACAGGTATACAGGTGAGTACAGGTGTGAATACAAGTGTGTGTACAGGTGTGGGACAGGTGTGGTACTAGGTAGGCACCTAAAGTAGGAACTAGATATGCACTTAGTAGATACAAGGCAGGTACTACATGTAGATAGGCACTTGGTACTTATTAGGTAGACACTTTGTAGGCATTTGGTACTAGGTACTTGGTAGATACTACATATACTGTAGGTACATGTACACTTACAAGGCAGTTGGTTGGTACTACATGTAGGTAGGCACTTGGTCTAGACATGTAAGTGGACATTACAGTGGGTAGGTGCTAGGTAGGCTCTAGATAGGCGCTAGGTACTTTGAAGGTACATTTGTATTAGGTAGGTACTAAGTCTTGATACTTGGTAAATACTAGATAGGTACTTGGTAGGCCCTTGGTATACACTGAGTACTAGGCATTTGGTAGGTACTAGGTAGCTAGTCACTTTGAAGACACTTTATTACGTAGGCATTAGGTATACATTTGATAGGTACATGTAGGTACTAGGTAGTACATTGAACAGTGTGGTAACCACAGTTCTTTTTGCCCCCCCCCCCCCAGCCTGTTCTGTCCACTCCTAGGAAAGGACCACAAACCCCACATCAGGAACTTTGCTGCCGAGAGTTTCGCCTTTCTCATGAGGAAGGTAGGTTTGGTTTTGTGTTCTTACACTCACAATGTCTTTATGTTTGTTCTTTTACAGTACATTTGTAGATTTATATTTTTTTTAATTGTCCATAATAATGCTACAATGGAGGGAATGCAAAACAGGTTATGAAGATATCCTTTCATGTTATCTCCCTCAAATCCAATTCAATCTGGACAAGTTTTCTTGCTAGCTTAAAGATGATCCTCCTACAAGAAATGTGCATTATGTCTGAAGATCTCCAGATTTGATAGACTTGAAGCAAGACCTGGTGTTTTTGTCTGGGTAATGTTCATAAAATCCACTCAAGGCTGTTGGATAATATTTCCTTTCAGGTGAGAGACCCAAGTGACTTCTTTGACTTCATCTTCAGAGACTTGGCAGAAAACCCAGATGTAAGTCCTGTGTCAATCTGATTTTTCCTTATGTGTCCATTGTCATGTTATATTCCTTCAAAGTCAATAACACTGGATAACATGATCTTTTTTATCTCATGAAATGATCATGATTGTATTTTTCTGCAGAGAAGTTCAGGTGTGGGTCGGCTGCTGTTTGAGATGCTGAAGGGAGTCCAGAAACAGTTTCACTCCTGCACTGCTAAGGTAACTACTTACCATCATTTATAATTCAACGAGTACTGATGCTCCATAGAACGGAGTTCAGAAATAGTTTCACTCATGCACAGCTAAGGTAACATAACTTACCTTTGTTGTACCTTTGTTGTATGATACGTAATTATAATAAATGCTTCATAGAAGGGAATTTAGACAGTTTCACTCTTGCACTGCAAAGGTAACTCTACTTACCATCATTTTATTCTGTATGATTGGGTTGTTGACTTCATCATAATTACATTGTGTGTTGAAAGTCAGCAAATGTTTACTATCCGTTGTATCTTTAAAGTTTTAGTGTCTTTTTCACCAATAGTCAAGTATTCAATTTGACAGTTTTTCATTTTTACTACGATTTTTAAAAACACATTTTTTGTCGTTTTTTCTTTTAGGTTTTTCCCATCATGTTGTGCAAGCTGGGCCCGGCAGCCGCTGCCCATGAGGATGCTGGGAAGGTTGCGTTGCCATGGCAACAGGTGCAGGAGGCGCTGGAGGACACGATGCAGTCGATGTCAGAGTTCACTAGCAGGGGTCATGCAGGGGTCATCTGGGAGGCCCTTATTGTAAGCTTTGGTTAAGTTTTTTTAAAAATGAATGACTGTGTTTGTGTGTGTGTTTGTGTGTGTGTGTTTGTGTGTGTGTTTGTGTGTATGTATGTGTGTGTGTGTTTGTGTATTTGTGTGCGCGTGTATGTGTGTGTATGTGTGTGTGTGTGTTTGTGTTTGTGTGTGTGTGTTTGTGCAAATGTGCATTTGTATGGGATGGAATGCCTTATAGATCTAGATCCTCCACCATTGCTCCTTTAGTATTTGTACAAGAACCTAGATAAAACTGACTGGAGGAACCATACGAGTGGGAGCAAGGAGCCAGTACCTGGCCTGAGTACATCAGCTATAAGACTTGAGTATTGACCAGCAATTTTTTCCCACCATCTTTTCCAGACTGCATCCACAGAAGTCCACACCAGGTGGAGGGAAGACCAGACAGCCAGTCAGAAGAGCCACACAGCTGGTCACACAGACCACCTGCCCAACCAGCAGGACCAGACAGATGGTCAGCAGGATTACCAGACAGCTAACCACCAGGACCGGTTGCTGAGGCTGGTTCAGGTTTGGGTCCGCCACAAACACGGGGACCTCATCACCAGTCCTGACAAACTGTGCCAGGTTAGGAACCCAAGCTTCATTATCATTACTTTTATTTATTAATACCTTTACACATATTTACACTGGCACTAGTAGCAGTACAATGTAGATGCTATTTACAGACAACGTTAGACTGTCTTATAGAGTGCTACCATCAGCTTTCAAGATGGAAGGATGCCTACTATACATTTTGATAATTACCTTCTATCTATTATTTTGTTTAACCTGTTTATGGTTTGAAATACTGGCTAGTTACATGTGCATGTACATGTACTTGTTACAGTATAAGATGTTCATAATATTGTAAGGGACTGGCTGGTTTGATAATACATTGGTATTGGGGCATACCCCTAGCTGCTTGTTTCTGATGTCTGGTTGTAAGATATCATGTACTACAGTGTAACTGGATATGATTTTGGAAACGGTCAGACATTTCAGGTACATGTACATGTAGCATCCACTACCTTTCGGCAGTGACACTGAGGAAAGCTAGTATAGTGGATGATACCTTAAACATCTGAGGGTTTCCAAAATCATATCCAGTTGCTTGAGTATAAACTGCTTTTTGGCGTATACATGTATAAATGACCAGTCCTTGTTTAATGTTTGCATGTTTTTTTTACTGCCCAGCTCCTAGTGAGTCTACTGTCTGACGGCCCCTATCCCGGGGAAAGTGGTACGACCCTGCTGGAGCTGACCTCTGACCTCCTGCTATCCCAGAAGTCCAGCCTCGATGTGATACAGATCTCTAAACTTGTCACTTTGGTAAGGAAATTTATTCTTTTTTTTTTTTTTACTAATTATTTTAATTTTTTAATTTGGTAAGGAAATATTGAGGGCTAAGTCTTACAGCATTCATCACAAAAAAGGCCAATGATTTATTACACAATTATGAAGTATTTTTATTGCATAATTCCAAATATACATCAGCAGGAGGGGGCACAAATGCTTCCCCAGAATTGGGTACAATTTGTCACATCAAAACACGAAGCTGTGCTCAAGCTATTAAATCATTCATTTGTTCATGTCTTTAGCTATTAGATGTCTATAACATAATGTAGGGTAAATCTAGCCTAATTTTCCGCAACAAATACACAGCAGGTTTCCATGCATAAGATTCCCGCATGCTCATTTGATATTTTTACATGTCTTGTATGTACTTTCAGTACAATATATTTCTTGACATACATTTTATAATGTGATCGAACAATTGGAAATATTTCCAAATCTTTATTAGGGTTACTTTACAATGTACATGTAAATCACAGCTACGTACAGAATTTCAATCATCTTTTCATCTTGTTCACTGACAGTTGAAAATAATTAACATCAAGTTCAAGTTCAATTTTATTTAAATCAACTGGCATGTACACAGATTCACAGAAAATGTGACATGAAATTCGTTGACAATTACATTAAAAGCTCTCAAAACGTGACATGAAAATCAGTTGCAACTAAGTCATATTTGAGTTCACAATACAATGCCATTACTGTACATTGCCGTACTTCAAAGCATTATTGAACATCTTTGTTAAAACAACTCATTGACAAGGTCTTCAAACAAGTGTTAAAGTTAACCATTAGTCAAAGTTAGGTTGAATCATATCCCCTTGCTAAAAGTATAAAAATTGATGTGTACGCAGATGATACTGGTACACTAAACAAAGGAAGCTTGAATTAGAAAATTTTGCAAAGCAAGCATAATACAAAGTAATGACAACTCAAACTCAGGGTACTTGTGTGTGAATTATTATACACATAAAACATTTTTTGAAAGGGGAAATTTAAGTCCCTCACATATATCTGTACTTCCTGATACAGTGGTCACCAGTGTTAGCTACATACACATGTCCATCCTCTGTCACAGCCACCCCACAGGGAAGGTTCAGTTTGTCCCCATCACTGCTAATGGTGGACACCCAGGTGCCGTCTGGGCGGAACACCTGAAGCTTCTCACTGTGTCCTACACCATCAGTTTCACCCCCAATGTTTGCCAGAACTATGTTCCCCCTGCTGTCAGCTGACACCCCCATAGGACCAAACATGTCCTGTGGCTGTCTGCCCCCCTGACCAAACTTGTGTTGGAAGTTCAGATTCCTGTCAAACACCTGAACACGGTTGTTGACTTTATCTGCCACAATGATGTTGTCTTCTTTATCCACACAGACAAAATATGGCTGATAAAACTGCCCCTCCCCCTTCCCCTGCCCTCCCACCTGTTTCACCAGTGTCCCATCTGCCTCAAACAGGAAGATGCTGTGTTTGTCAAAATCAGCTAACACAACCCTCCCATCCCTCTGTACTGCCAGGCCAGAGGGCTTTGTGCAATAGTTACCCAGAGTGAATTTATGCAGCTCTTCTCCTGATGGGGAAAATTTCTTCACTTCCTTCCCACATATCCCCACTATGGTGCCATCAGTCTGAACTGCAAGTGAGTAGGGATTTGTAGTTATTAGAAAAGAGGAGCAAAACTTCCCATTCAGATCAAACACCTGAACACGCTGGTTGAAAATATCAGCCACATACAGCCTGTCCCCCCTGACTGCTACATCTACAGGAGTGTCAAACTGCCCCTGCTGGCTGCC